GTGGATCTTATTTAACTCCATTCTTTTCCTCCTCACATGCTTCTTCTTTGTCTCCCTTCCAACACTGAACTCTGTCTACCATAAGCACAGTTACAGCAAGTCAGGAACAGCAGGGCTATTGCAGCAGCCGTGAAAACCTCAGAGGGTGTAGAAAAGAAAACCTACTTGCTAAGGTTTAAGTCACTGAGCAGAGCAATGGCATGTAAAGCGGTCTGAAGCTTGTTTGCTGGGTCTGAATGAACAAATATACTGTGAGGGACATGTCATTATGCTGCCATAGCAATAGTGGAATAGAACTGGATTTCAGGATAGTGAGAGACACAGGGAGAATGGAAGCATGCAGGATGTCTTCATCTGCGTTCTTTCCCTCTGGTAGCAGTGAAAACACCATAGATGCCTGCCCTCTCCAGGTTTTTTGTCTGTGTATCCCTCGAGAAAAGTGCTATTTGCAGCTTATCTTCACTTGATGTCATGCTGCTTTTTCTTTTATTTTCGGATGTCCTGATACATTTTGTCTTCCCCTTCCCACCACCAGCTTTCCATGAACTTCACCCAAACCAGAGTCACTTTGCTGGAAAACAGTTTTACCAACAATCTAGTGCAGCTCCAGTGATACCAGTGGAATGAATTCAACAAACAGGGAAGTTATTGCAGTTGAGGGAATTTTCCTAGTGATTGTGTGGGAATCAGTGAGCAGAAATGTATGGTATTTTCTCCATAAGAAGAAACATGTTTTACACAGTCAAGCACGGGCAGAGAGGGCTCTGTTTCATTGTATTTCATATCTTTCACAGTTTTATGTGCAACAGATATTTTATGACTAGGATGAAAATGACTTTATGGAAATTAATGGAAGTTAAATAGATGTTGCATTTTTAAAAGTTCTTGTACCAGGTCCAGTTGGTGTAATTCATTTTTTTTTCTTTGGTCAGACTTTTGGAAAACTCAGCATGTGCTAGATAAGCCAAAACTGTGACTTGGCATCGTAGAGGCCAGATGAGTGTATGTATCTGACCACTTATGCAGTAATTACATGCTGTGTTCAATATTCCCTCAAGCGATCCAAAACAAAAGTGTTAAGTAAGCAATGCTGTCAGCAGTGAATACTAGAAGTTGCTAAAGAAGGGATAGCCTAGGTGTAATAATACAGCATGCGATGAGACGAAAAAGAAGTAAATAATGCAAAAAGGTGTGGGGATGCGCTGCATACCCTAACATTCAAGGAATTCCTCCCTTGTCCACACCAGCAGCCTGGTACATAGCAAATGACCAGAGACAGAATATATTAAATGCTGCATCCTCTTAAAATGAGTGGCCGGTTTTCCAGCATCAGCTAGTATGACTTTTTCTGTTATTCCTAGTCCTCCTTTCCTTGGCACTGGAGAGCTATCAACTTTGTACAGTTGAACCCATGAACAGCAACAACCTGCAGAATTTGTGGCTCACATAGTCACATTGAATTCACAAATTGTTGCTGCAACACTAGAGTGAATACAGGAGGTTCACACTTCTATGGAGAAATCTAGGGGGATAAGCATTCCCTCTGTCCAAGGAATTCCTTCTGCAGACATTCTAAAGAGAATAAAATACTCCCTTGGCATTATGGAATGACAACCTGACTTTCACTGAAGGCTAGAGAACATGTACAAGAAGTAGGGTATGTAGACAATGTAGATCTGGATGTGACTGCAATAAAATACGAGGACTGGAAGGCCCAGCACAGCCCTTCCCCAAACGTGTGAATCCTTACTCCTTACTTCTCTCACAGCCAAGTGAGAAGAGTTTTACCTTTCGTGCCTTCCAACTTGTTCTTCTCCAGCCCCAACTGACAGGTGAACATATAATTGCATCTGTTCTTCAAGAAGCTGCAACCACAAGGAATATATTGCACATTCATTCTCCAAATAGCCGCATAACAAGCATACTCCTGTTTGTGTGACATTTATTAGAATATGGAAGATACTAAAGCAAATAAAATACTACCAGTACAGAAGAAATGTGCTAATCAAGACTTCTCTTGGTGCTTCTCCTCAAGGAGCAAGCAGTTCACAGAATCACAGAATCACAGAATCACAGAATCACAGAATATTCAAGGTTGGAAGGGACCTCTAGAGATCATCTAGTCCAATGTTCCCACTCAAGCAGGCACACCTAGAGCATGTGGCACAGGGTGGCATCCAGGCGGGTTTTGAAGACCTCCAGAAAAGGAGACTCCACAAGCTCCCTGGGCAGCCTGTTCCACTGCCCTGTCACCCTCACAGTAAAGAAGTTCCTCCTCACCTGTAGATGGAGTTCCTAAAATATGGAGAGTAAATTTCTCTTCATTAATGCAGTACTTTTCAAAGTATTTTGATGAAAGGAACTGTGTGTCAAGCAGTGACATTTGTTTAGGTTAACACAGCACCGATTATTTTATTATTATTATTGTTGGTTTTGTTGTTGTTATTGTTATTAAAGGACGGGATTTGCCCCTTGGTTTCTACAGGACAAATATCTACAAATATCTAGAATTCTTATTATATTAATTTGAATGAATATCACCTCATCTCTGTCTGCACATGGAGGCGTCACTCATTAGAGTTCTAATATTATACTATATTAGACATCTCTTTGACAAAATCCATGAGGGTAAAGCCATGTAGTTAAGCCTATAGGAGGCTTGATGAAAACAGAGATGGCAAACAAAGTCATTTCATCAGCTCAGGGTCTTTTTTATCCATCTTTTCTAGGCTATCCCTAAGGCCCAAGCTTTTCCTATGAATTGGTGAATGGTGGGCCACAGCTGGGTCTAAACGGGTTAAGGACTCTCTCTGATTTTAATACAAACTTCACTGTTTTGGAGGGGTAAAAAAGGAATTGCTCAATTTTCCTGCTAGAAATGCTTTTTCTCACTTTACTAATGCTCATAAAGGCAAGAAGAGATAGCACAATGGAGTTCCCTCTCACTATTCAGCACATACATGTTTATATTTTCTTAGGTTTGGCTTTATAGAGTTTAAACAACTGTTGATAATTAAAATGGTCCCTTTTGTCCTACTTTTATTTTTATTTATTTATTTATTTTTTTTTTTTTTGGTGACAGCTTGGACTGCTAGTTAAAATGGAAATGATATAGCAATTTATATTTCATTTCCATCAGACCAGATGCTGACCTGTCTTTGCTATTCCAGTGCCAAATTCAGATCAGGACTCGGATGAGACTAAATCAGATGAGTTTAATGCAGGCACAAGTCTCTTGCTGCTTGTGGATGGAGAGAAGAGCTCTGAGTGTGCAGGAGGGTGTCATGCCTCAGAACTCAGATTTTCCTACTGGTTTGCTAAGCAGTTCATAAATTAATATGGTGCTTTTGCCCTCTAAATGCTGCTGAGGAGGATGGGGTTTGTTGGGCTGGCACGTGGGTATAGTAGGGGAGTGTAGGTGCTCTGAAGTTGCTATTGTTGGAGGATGAATGCATCTAAAACAGGAGCTGAAGAGTCCAAGTAGCTATCGAGAGAAGTTCTGCTCCCCCGTCAGCAGATCTCTCTGCATAATATTTGTGGGAATTAACTCTTTATCACAACATAAGCTTCCTCTTCCCTCTGAAGTGCTCCTGAAGAAGCTTTAGCGTTTCCATTTTTTAAATAATTGGCTATCTTAAAAGGCAGAATAGGATTCTGATTTTTCCTTTAAATGATCAAGATGATTAAAAATGGACTGTAATACTTGCATGGATTTCTTAGAGCGTTCTGTTGTTTAATTAAATAAGTAACTTAGCAAAAACAAAGAATATCCTTAAATTGTATGGTGATGATTTTAAGAAAATATAACCCTTTCTGTTTTCTCCACTTTACAGATAATGTGTCCTCTTTCTCCCATTTTTATCAGATGTGCAAGTGTAGTTGTGATTTTCTCTCTTTTTTAAGTATCATCACTAGAAAGACAAACTTTTACTGAGGTTTTTACAAAGGTGATTAGTGCCACTACCCCTATTATATAGTCACAGAAAACGAAAGCATATGCAGGTCATCCATAGTCATCCAAGCAGCTGGTGGAAAAACTGCAGAAGGAGACTGCCGTTCTCAGTGCCGTCTGTGCTCTGTTAACCCCCTCCAATAACTCCAATGATTAAAGCCACAGCATTACTCCATTCAGTCATTACTTCCCCTTATGAAATCCCAGCCAAATCTAACACACAAATTAGAAAAGCAACTAGCAATCAAGAGCAATAAATTGTGTGTTTGTATATGTATTTGAGTGGGGTGATTTGACAAACTTCATTTCCTTTGAAAATCTGTGAATTTCAGTATTAGTCCCAAAGAAATCTTTTGGGAGGTGTTTCCTTCCCCTGTTTCCAGCAGCTCTACTCAGCAGCTACAGAAGCTTTGCCAAATACCAGAGGAGGCAATAAAAAAGGGGGAAGAACATCATCACTAGCTTTTAAGCAACTATCTTCTATGCAAACCAATAGTTTCAAGCCATTTCATAGCTTGCTGCCACCTACTTGAATACACATATATCACCACCGTGTATTGTCATACTGGCAGCTGAAACTTGATAATTATCTAGTAATTTTCTTTATGTTGTATAGAAAAGTCCATTGGGCAACGTTTTAGGCATTGCTAAGCACCCCCCACACTCTAAGCATTGTATTTATGATAGAGTAAGGAGGATAGATTTATGAACAGATATCTGCCTATTGGAGCAGTAAATCATGCCACCTGTAACTGAGAAGGATTTTCTTGAAATTTCAGGAGCTGGAATTTTTATTAGTAAGGGAAAAAGAAAGAAGCACTAAGAAAGAAAAAAGTGAGAAAGAAGAGTTTGGTTCTTGTGATTTTGTTCCTATGTATGGTATTATAGTTTTATTTTTAGGCATCTATTAGTTAAGTAACCTGGTATTTAATAGAGGAAAAAAATCATAGTCGGGAGGCACAAATTAAAGTAAAATAAAATACAGCTTCAGTCCAATTCTACAGACTCTAAATTTTCCCTTAAATAGATTTTCATGTTTAAATCTTACCTCTGCTCCATTTGTAGGTCACAGTGGCATGAACACTGTAATAGAACAGCAGCAGCAGCAAAGTCTTCCAATGCATCGTTCTCTTTAAAATAAATATGTCTAGGTATATACTAGAAGTTTTTTCCTATCTCTCTCCTGAGGAATATAAATGACTTTTCCCCACCCCCACCCTCTTTGAAGGAGGAACCTGTCCGTTCTTCCGAGTACAACAGAAGTCAATGTGCAGCTCCTTTCCCAAACCAAGTCTCTTTGGGATCAGGAGACTTACTTTCACAGACAGACTTTGTTTTTATCCACATCTGGAATGACTCATGGTGCATGTGAGTTTGCTGGCAGTTGTGTGAATAAATATCACTACATTTTTGTAGCTGAGTTTCATTTGTTAAATTGGCCAGTTGGAATTTATTTTTGTCCAAAAAACAGCCACAAGCAATTTCATTCAAGAATGCACTGGAACACTAGGTCATTTGCTACAGCTCTCTAACAAGGGGACTATAGACTAACCTGTGTCTAAGCTGAAATCCTTGTCTGGAATGAGGTGTAGCTGCACTTGGATGCCTAAGGCAGGGAGTGGGACATATGCACTGAAAGAACATTTTGCTACTGTGATTCATATAATTGCTCCTTTATTAGGAACATATAACATAGTACTTACAATTCAGTTCTGTGAGAAAAGGACTGCCTTTTCCTCCATCAGGAAAGGGAGGGCATAGGGAAGACAACATCCTTAACTGAGTCTCTTCAACGGTAATATAGGGAAAACTAAAAAATCCTAGGGATAATCTGCAATAGTCAGGCTGAATGTGAAGATGTGATGCTGGCAGCCAAAAAAAAACCCACTTCTTTCTGACATTGTCCTCTGCAATACCTTCAAAAAGTGTAACCCTAATTGTAAAAAGGGATTTCAGGACAGTATTGTCACTACAACCCATCAGGAACCAAGACCAAAAATAACTCTAAACAGTGTTTGGTTTGCTCTGTTAGCCACCCATAGAGAAACTCTTTCCACATCAACTACAATGGTACCTCAATATGCTCTGCTTTCCCAAAACCGAACCCTAATTTTAATTGTGAAAGGGATTTCAGGACAATTCTGGCATTATTACTCCCTTATTGGACAGACCAAAAGGAGTGAGAGCAGAGCTTCCTTTGCTCTGCTAATCTACTTTTCACAGAATCACAGAATAGTTAAGGTTGGAAGAAACCTCTAGAAATCATTAGTCCAAACCTCCTGCTCCAGCAGGGATACCCAGAGTACAGAGCACAGGGTGGCATCCAGGTGGGTTTGGAAGACCTCCAGAGAAGGAGACTCCACAACCCTGGGCAGCCTGTTCCCGGGCTCTGTCACCTTCACAGCAAACAAATTCTTCCTCACATGGAGATAGAGCTTTCTGTGTTTCAGCTTACACCCATTGCTCCTTATCCTATCACTGGCCACCACTGAGAAGAACTTGGCCCATTCTCCCATCAGGTATTTGTACATGTTGATAAGAACTCCTCTCAACCTTCTCTTCTGCAGGCTAAATAGGCCCAACTCACTGAATCTTTCCTCATTAGATAGAGGCTTCAGTCCCTTAATCACCTCTGTACTCTGTCTAGAAGCTCTATGTCCCTCTTGTCCTGGGGAGTCCAGAACTGCCTCCAGTACTCCAGGTGTGGCCTCACCAGAGCTGAGCAGAGGGGCAGGATCCCCTCCCTTCACCTGCTGGCAACACTCCTCCTGTTGCAGGCCAGGATGGCATTGGCCTTCTTGGCTTGAGGGCACACTGCCAACTCATGGTTAACCTGTTGCCCACCAGGACTCCCAGGTTCCTCTCTCTGGAGCTGCTCTCCAGCAAGTCGACCCCTAATCTGTACTGATGCCTGGGGTTATTCCTTCCCTGCACTTGTCCTTGTTGAACCTCATGAGGTTCCTCTCTGCCTGACTCTCTAGCCTGTCCAGGTCCCTCTGAATGGCAACACAGGTCTCTGGAGTGTCAGCCACTCCACCCAGCTTGGTATCGTCTACAGACTTGCCCAGGGTGCCCTCTGTGCCCTCGTCCAAGGCATTGATTAACATATTGAACAGCACTGGACCTAGTACTGATGCCTGGGAGACACCACTGGCCACAGGCCTCCAACTGGACTCAGTCCCATTTATCACCACCCTCTGAGCTCTGCCATCTGCCAGTTCTCCATCCACCTCACTGTCCACTCACCCAGTCCACGCCTACAGAGCTTTCCTATGAGGATATTATGGGAGATGGTGTCAAAAGCCTTGTTGAAGTCAACATACTTAGCTCTTCCCTTGTCCATCTGGCCAGTCATCCCATCACAGAAGGCTATCACATTTGTCAAACATGACTTCCCTTTGATGAATCCATGCTGACTACTCATGATCACCTTCTTCTCCTTCACATGCCTAGAGAAGCTCTCTAGGATGAGCTGTTCCACCACCTTTCCAGAGACGGAGGTGAGGCAGACCAGTCTGTAGTTTCCCGGCTCCTCCCTCTTGCCATTTTTGAAGACTGGAGTGGTGTTGGCTTTCCTCCAGTCCTAAATTCCTCCTAAGTTCCAGTTCCTCCTACTTTGGGGAGACTCTTTCCAAATCAACTGCAAAGGTGCTTCTATATTGTCAACTTTTCAGAACCGTAAACCTAACCCTAACCAAAACTCTAATTATGAAGAAAGATTTCAAGTCCCTGATGCCACTGCAAAGAAACTAGTGACTCAGACCAGAAAGTATTAAGAGCAGAGCTTTCCTGGATCTGCTTATGTGTTTTTTTGGATGAGTTTCTCCACACCCACTACAATGGTGACTCTACAGTCTCTGCTTTACTGAAACTTAATGCTAACCCTAATTGTGAAGAAGGATTTCAGGCCCCGAGTTGACTCAGCCAAGCCACTAGTCGCTCATTCGAAAAAGTACTTTGTACAGAGCTTTGCTCCACTAACTGTTTTTTGACAGACTCTTTCGACACGCGCTACAAGGCTGTCTCTACATGCTATGGTTTCCTGAACCCTAAACATAGCCCTAATTATGAAGAAGGATTTGGGGACCATGCTGACTATGTTCAGCTAGTAGTTGCTCATTCCAAAATGGGACTTGAGCGGAGATTTTTCTATATCACCAAAGGTTCTTTTAGGAGCCTCTTTTCACTCCCACTACAATGGTGCCTCTAGGATCTCTGCTTATCTGAAACCTAACCCTAACCCTACTTTTGAAGTAGGATTTCAGGCCTGTGCTACCACAAGCAAGCTACTAGTTATTCATTCCAAAAAGCACTCTGAGCAGCACTTTCTTTGCTCCACTAACCTTCTTTTGAGAGACTCTTTCTACAGACCCTGCATGGGTGCCTGCACACAGTGTATTTTTCTGACCTCTAAACTTATACTTAATTGTGAAGAAAGATTTTAGGCCTGTCCCAACTGTCCAGTCAGTAGTCACTCATTCCTTAAAGTACTCTGAGCAGAAGTTTTTTCTACTTTGCTAAGGTATTCTTAGGACAGTCTTTCCCCTCCCACCACAATGGTGCCTCTACACTTTCTTCTTTTCTGAACTCTAAGAGAAACCCTAATTTTGAAGGAGAATTTGAGACCCGTGCTGGCTCTGTCAAGGCACTAACTGTTCATTCCAAAAAGTTCTTGGAGCAGCGATTTCTCTGCACCTCTAGCCTTTTCTTGTGAGACACTTTACACTCGATTTACAATAACTGCTCTACATTCTCTGCTTTCTCAACACTAACCCTAGAACTAAGAGTCAAGAAGGATTTCAGGCCTGCAATGAGCCTATGCAGCCAGTAGGCACTCATTCCAGAAACGCACCTGAGCAGAGGCTTTCCTTCTTCCCTAAGATTCTTTTGGAAAACTCTGTCCACTCCCACTACAACGGTTACTCTACATGCTCTGAGCTTTTCCAAACCCTAACCCTTTTCTGCTCCACTTGCCTTCTTTTGAGAAACTTGACACATGCTACAATGGTACCTTGACGATCTCTGCCTTTCTCAATCCTAACCCAACCCTAATTGTGAAGAAGGGTTTTGGGCCCATGCTGGATCTTTCAAGGCAGTAGATGCTCATTTCAAAAGGGAACCTTAGAAGAGTTTTTTCTACTTTGCTATGGTGGTACTTTGAGGAGACTCTTTCCACCCACACTGTAGTGGTGCCTCTATGCACCTTGGTTGTCTGAAATCTATCCCTAATCCTAGCTGCTAAGCAGGATTTCAGGCCTGTGCTGCCACGAGCAAGCCAATAGTCGTTCATTCCAAAAAGTACTCTGAGCAGAGCTTTCTTTGCTCTAATAATCTTGATTTGAGAATCTCTTTCAACATGCACAACAAAGGTGCTTCTATGCTCTCTGGTTGTCTGAAATCTATCCCTAACCCTAATTGTGAAGAAGGATTTCAGGCCCAGGTTGACACTATCCAGCCAGTAGCTGCTCATTCCTAAAAGGACTCCACCAAGAAGTTTTTCTATTTCACTAAGGATTTTTTTGGAGTGTCTTTCCACTACAATTTGAAGGTGCCTCTATGCTCTCTGGTTTTCTGAACCCTAACCTTAACCCTAACAGTGAAGACGGATTTCAGGCCTGTGTTGACTCTATCCAGGCAGTAGTCACTCATTTCTAAAGGGCTCTGAGCAGAGATTTTTCTATTTCACTAAGGTTTTTGTAGGAGACTCTTCCAACTCCCACTACAACGGTGCCTCTATACTGTCTGGTTTTCTGAACCCTAAAACCTAACCCTAATTCTGAAGAAAGATTTCAGGTCAGTGTTGACTCTACCCTCAGAGGGACCTAAGCCTCATGTTAGACAACAAGTTAACCATGAGCCAGCAGTCTGCCCTCATGGCCAAGAAGGCAAATGGAATCCTGGGGTGCATTAAGAAGAGCGTCTCCAGCAGGTCGAGAGAGGTGATCATCCCCCTGTACACAGCCCTGGTGAGGCCACATCTGGAGACTGTGTCCAGTGCTGGGCTTCCCAGTACAAGAGGGATGTGGAGCTGCTAGAGTCCAGCACAGGGCTACGAGGATCATCAGGGGCCTAGAACATCTGTCCTATGAGCAAAGGCTGAGGGAGCTGGGCCTGTTCAGCCTGGAGAAGAGAAGGCTGAGGGGGCACCTGATCAGCGTGTATAAATACCTCAAGGGAGGCAGTGAGGAGGAGGGGGTGGCCTCTTTTCCATGGTGGCCGAACTAGACGGAACTAGAGAAAAGAGCCACAAACTGAAGCACCAAAAGTTCCATAGG